AAATACTACCAATCAAAAATAAATGGAAATTTATTATTAAAACAAAAATAACGAATAGGTGTTGAACACGTGATGATCATTTTAATGTTGCCTCATTTGATGTTCACAGAACACCCTGAGGCACACAGCATCATTCCATTTGTACTTGTATCCAAGGCAGCTTATCTAAGATCACACAGCTGGTTATCAAATGACAAAAGCAAGATCCACAGACCATTCCTGGTTCTGAAACTAGTGATCCTGATGCACAATATTCTTTAAAGGTAATAATATATTGAACACCACATGGGCAGGACTTTATTTTGGAGTAAGAACCAGGAGCATGAGATTTTAATTGTTTTCATCTCATGCAAGTTATTTTGTTTTGTTTTTTTTTTTTAAACATGTCCTTACTACACTTTTCATATGCTTGGGTGCAGACACATTTTTTTGTATTCCAGAAACATCACAGGCAAGTTGAACTTTCTCTGCTTCACTGGCTGACCTGATAAAACTTGCTTCCTAAAGTAAGTTTCTAAATAGCTCATAGAAACATTGACAACCACAGCCTGCAGCAGTCAGGCTTTGTTCTATTCTTCTGACTCTCAGGAAGGAATATCTGCCCCTCCCCCACTTCCATCTGCCTTGCTGCCTGGTGTTTCTGGGCAGTGAAGGCAGTGGTGTTCAAGTTCTGTTAGCAAGGAACACATTCATTTTAAAATCTACACAGGATGATTCCTTAACCTGCTTTGCCAAACATCTCACATTTTCAAAGCTTAGGGAATCTGCATGGATATGAAGGGTTTTCTAGAATTCTCAATCACTGGTAGCTCCAAAGGTATTCCAGTAAAGAAAATGTTACACAAATCAGCACTTACTCAGAGGAAATCTCTCTCAGTCCTTGAAAACGTCTTGACTGTACCTTAATTTAGTTATTTCCGAGGCACACACTAACTGCTTTGAATGTGCTGAGTGACTTAACCTCATCCAGTCACAGAGTGAGCATTTGCATCACTTCCATCTTCTATAAGAAGCAGACATAGAGGGTTAGACCATCTGCCGGCTTTACACAAGGTATGTCATTTTGACCTAAGCCAGTTTTGACTCAAGAGTCCCAAAGCTTAACCATCATACTTCACTCCTGCTTCTTCATTTAATTACAATACCTGTTCCATAAACTTATTTCCATATGCTTCAGGAAACATTAGAAAATAAAATAAAAGTAAAAAAAAATGCCTGAGAAATAGTGATTTAATTTTTTTTATATACAATAGTTTGGAAATTACAGAAAAGATGCATAAAACAGTTAAAAGAACTCTACTATGCCTCCAGCCACGTTCCCCACTGGTTGGCTTGATGGTTATTGTTTCTCTTCTGCTCTTTCTTTCCTCTATCTACATATCAACCTGGGTGCATATACTCAGCTTACTTTTTTTTTTTCTCAAAACAATCGAGAAGTTGTTACAGGAATGAGAATTAATTACTCTCATTTCCTAAGTAAAAGGACACTCTCCTTATAGGAACTCAAAACTGGTACAATTAACACTGAAACTATGTAATTTACAAATCCCATCCAATGTTGTACAAGGTCCCAATGACGAAAAAGCAAAGCAAAGCAGAGTATAGTGCATTCTGCCTCAAGGCACATGTGAGAGCAGGGGATACGTTCCACTGACATTAACATTTCTTCAGTTTGAAACAGTTCCTCAGTCCATTCACTAATTTCAAAAAAATTAAGAGCTGCAATTTTGCAGAGGTCACAATTTGAGTTTGTTTCCCCAATATTAGATCCTGGTATTTTGGAAAGAATTCCACAATATTTGGTTCTTATCTTCTTAGAATATCAAAAATTCAGTGTTGGTGTTGGCAAGATGCCTCAGTGCATAAAGACGCTGTCCAGTAAGTCCATCTGAGTTCAGTCCCTAGAACCCAAATGCCATATGGAGAGAACTGACTCTTACAGGCTGTCCTTGGATGTGTGTGTGTGTGTGTGTGTGTGTGTGTGTGTGAATATTTTTAAAAATTAAAAAAGAACACAATGTTGATGTGTACTGTTCTTACTTGTGCTAATTTTCATCACCAAGCAAAACTGGTTAGTACCAAACTTTTTACAATGAATTTACATAGCCTTCTGTTTATAATCAGTAACTATTTTATGGCAATCATGTCAAATTGTGTAAATATTTTGTTCCACATCAAAACCTTGCCTACTACTGTATTATTTTTATGAAATGATGCTTGATGTCTAACTTTCTATAGATCCTTTTATTTTTATGGGTTAGTATTATTATATTAGAGCAGTGTTTCCCAATATATGAGTCGCATCCCCAATCAGCTATCGCACATATCAGATATTTACATTATGATTCATAACAGTAGCACAATTACAGTTATGAAGTATTAATAAAATAATTTTATGATTGGGGGTCACCACAACATGAGAAACTGTATTAAAGGGCTGCAGCTTTAGGACGATCAAGAACCATTGTATTGAAGGGAGCTTAACCCATATCTTTTACTTATGCATTCCACTATTGACATTAACCTTCATTTTAATCAACAGGTTATAATTCATTACTGACATCGAAATTGAGGGTCAAGTTGTCCCTCAAACTAGCCATTATTCCTTCTTAACTAAATCCATAATTCAAAAAATTCACTTGCTTTATGATAACCAAGATCTTCTGGTTTACCTTGTACTTTTCTTGCCATTGCCTGAAATCAAATTTTTGTTTTCCTAAGAAGTTTGAGTGGGTGGGTAGGGGTGTGGACACATGCATGGTTTTTTGTGGGAAACCAGAAGTCAGTGTCAGACATCTTTGTTAATCTTCTGCCACTTGTTTTCTGAGAGGATCTCTCACATCACAGTTGGCTAGACTAGCTGACTGTCAAGCACTGGCGACCCTTCACAGCATGGGATTACAGGTGCACACTGCTGCACAAGGCTTTTATTTGCATTGAATCTGGGGATGTAAATTCAGAAAATTGGAGAGCAAGCACTTCAGGTGTTTTGTCAAGTCACAGGTCACCCAGTTTCTCTTACTGGAGAAAAACATTGGTTTCCCAACAGATCTGGGTACTGGATACAACTGTTACTACTTGGGCTGTGTGGCTTTAAGCTTCTCTCAAAACAGAACTGGGGAATGTAGAAAAAATGTATATAAGTACTTCTGTCTGTCCACCCGTATGGATACAGAAAGTCACGTCTCTCTCTCTCTATCTTTACCCCACGGTGTGTGTGTGTGTGTGTGTGTGTGTGTGTGTGTGTGTGTGCATGCGCATGCATGATAAAACCTATGAGTTCATCAAAACTGATTGATCCCAATTCAACACCCCTCTATTCACTCTGAAGTCTACCTTCTCAGAGTCCAGACTCTTCTCTGACAGTGAGAAACTTGGTTTCCATTACACCTGATTTACTTCTTTCATGTGTACACAGACAGAAACATGCAGTGTGGACACACTCGAACACACACACTAACACACCCCAAGTAGGTGGGGGAAGGAGGGAGAGAATGGGAAGAAGCAGGAGAGGAACATCACCAGACCACCAAAGAGTGGTCGGGTGAATGACAGAATGATGACAAATTTAATCCTTGTGAGAACACTGTGTCAGGGCTAAGCATTGTTCTCTTGGAGACACACCAGGCTTCATGTGTCTAAGACAGGATTCAAGACAGGACACTTTCTTTGTTGCTTTTTTCTCCATTATGATATTTTTAGAATGATGTAGAAAGAAAGTGTCAATTTTTTCATATCCTCTTACTTTTTTTTCTGGATTAATAAGACAGAATAAGGCCAGGAGCAAATAATTTATTATAATATGCTATATGCTTTTAAGGAATAATTACAGTGAATCATGGACCTAGTTAGTTTGAAACTCAGTCTTACCAGGAAGTTAGAGAGATGTGAAATGTGTTCTATTGTTTTCTGAGACAGGATCGCATGACTCTTAGCTGGTCTCCAACTCTCTACATAGCCCAAGTTGACCTTGACCTTCCAATTTCCCTTTCTCTACTTGGTGAGTTCTGGGATTACAGCCATGGATCACCACTTCCTGGCTTAGGGAGGTGCTGGCGATCAAATCCAGGAGTCTATTAATTGAGCTATACCCCCAGCTCAAAATTTAAGGTTTTAATGGCGAAGAGGAACAGAATAATTTGGTTGGAAATCTTGGCTGTTTATTTCCTATGTAAAATTTTATATCTTTAATGAAACTTTAAGTAATGAAGTTCAAATTTTTCCATTCAAAACTGCATGATACATTCTGTAGAGTTCTTATTGGTGTGTATAAAATATTTTGAGCAGCAGCAAAAGCACAAGGCCTAAAGTAGAGTGAGAATAGCAAGACACACCAGGTGTAGGCCTGCGCTCATATGTACTCACTGTGCTGAAAACCACTAGGCCTCATTGAATCCCAAAGGAGCACAGTGGTTAAAACAACAGGCTCTGGGGTCAAAGCGCCCTGAGTTAAATCAGCTCTACAGTTTTGGAACCACTGACTTCCAGGGCTGAACGTGTCTGTTTTCTTGTCAGCTAGGTTTTAGCAGAGACAAAAGTACATACCGTAAATTAAAACAGTACATAGATTTTTACAATGCTACATATAGAGAAAGGAGGAGTTCCATTCCCATAGCCATCATTTCAACCAGAATTAATTATTCTTATTGGGTCATAATAAAACCAATAGTATATAAAGATTTGATAACTTGTAAAGGAATTTATAAGTAAAACCAAAGATGAAGCTCAACATTTATTCAATTTTCACATTAAAAACAGTGTCACAAAAATCTTCTGGGATTGTCATTTTTCAGACGTTCTGTCCTTTGATATTGTCCCAGTTTTGAGTCTATAAAATATGAACTCCACAATCCTCACTGCCTCTTATGAATAACTGGAAGTTTTAAGACTCACTCCAGAAAGTGATTAAAGGAAGAACATTTTGAGAAAAATCTCAACTCCTCCCTCTTCTGGGGACAGTGCCGAGATTTTCAAAGATCATATGACTGCCCTCTCTTCAGTTCACAGATCTGTCTTACACATTGATGTCATTTGATATGACTTACGGAGAATCTCCCTGCACCAAACTGCTTCCCTAACAGAGTCAGTGCACCAACACTCGTGGAAACTAACTGGATCTCAGAAATTACTCCCCTCGTGTGACTTCACTTAAATAAGCCTTCTTCATGCAAAGCTGAGCTCTATGGAACTGAGTGCTAGAGGATAGCAAGGCTATGAAATCGACGGCAATATTGAATCCCAGGATCAAAATTACAGCTGTGTGGAAGAGAAATGAGTAAAGAACACAGTGAGAGAGGAAGAGACTCCAGTAGAGAAATACAGAGGCAGAGGTGAGGGGAAAGCACACAAGCAGCTGTGTTGTATACATGTGAATATATTAGTGCGGGCTTACACTTCACACTCACTGACTGCAGGGTTAAGCCACAGGGCATTACCTGGAACTGGTTAGAAATGAAGCATCTTGGACTTGTGAGTTACATGTCAGTCTCCATTCAACCTAAGTGGTATGAGACAAAAGAGAGTTCCTTTTAAAAATGAAGTTGTGATAGATTACTACCAAATTCTAATATTATTTTATATTCATTGTAACTTTAAGCTTTTGGTACTAAATGTATATTTTTCTTCCCTTGCTGTTGTTTAATTTAGCTAGGAGAAATAGGGGGAGGTATCCAGAAGTACTTTAGGGTAAGAAATCAGTCTGAATAAGTTGGCTTCTGACTATCCTTAGTTTTCTTCCACATCCTTCAGTAGTTTTCCTCACAGACTCCCTTCACAAGCTCCACAGTTTCAGAGCATCCGTTGGATGCTCTTGTTTCCAGGCTGTCCTTAAGAAAACTATAATACTTAAAAATAGAATTGCATTATTGAATACAGAGAAAGAAAGAACTTAACTGTTTTTAAGTCAAGAAAGTGATTCCATTCAGGAAGGGAGAGATGTTACATTTGGGACAGGTAATGGGGGACCTTCTAGGTTGTATTGATTACACTTTTAATTATTAGTTGTGATACTATTTCTGAATGTATAACTGTTTTTCAATTAACAAAAAATCTAAATACAGATGATATCTAAGGGAGAAAGAGATAGAGTACTTAGCCTTCCAGCTTGATCAGTCACAATAAATACAGAAAGCTAGCTTTGATCACCAACACAGCACTTTCTGAAGTAACTGCGTTAACATTAACTGAGCTCCCTCCCCAGCCTGCTCATGTGGAAATGATTAGGAAAGGACTAACACTGTCTCTCACAGAACACCAGATGAGTGCTTGCTGCGACAGTCTAATTCGCTTATTAGACTAACTCTAGATAGGGCAATGCTCTACTACTGTCTTAAATATTAGTTACCATTCTGATTAGCTAGCAATTGTGCCCTTACAGATCTGGGGCTGATTGTCTTCATCTTGCCTAGGTATCACTGCAGGTCTATGAGCATGGATATTTGTAAAATGAACATCTATAAAATCTGATGTATTTTAGCAAAGCATACCCCCCTAAAGGCTCATAAATCTAGCTTTGTTGTTAATCCTTTCCAAAACAAATGAAGTATGGGTATTTAATCCAAATATATTAGTTACATGTTTACTCCAATGAAAATAATAAAGATAAATACAGCAGTGTTATTACTGAAGCTATAAAATCCATTTGGTAAAAACTAATCTTCTTAGCTTGCAATTTCAGTATATCAAAATGTTCTTAAAATATTTATATATTTATTTTGTTTGTTTTTCTACACAGGGTTTTTCTATAGTCCTGGTTGTCCTGGAACTTTCTTTGCAGACTAGGCTGGCTGGCCTCAAACCTGTCTCTTTTTCAACTCTCTGTTATGATCCATTTTTAGAGTTTTATGCCAAAATATCACATTGTACATAAAAAAGGAAACACACAAGTTCATCAAAATCCTTCTTTACTTCTACATTCTCTTTAGGTTCATTTCTAGTTTTCAATTTTTCTATGACAAAGCAAAAGCTTGTTTCTGCTGTCAGTGCAAAGTGTTTCATTTTCAGTCTTACACACAATTTGAATCACAATTTTGTTGTGTTGTTTCTCACTGGGATGAGAAATACTAAAATGGAGACAAAATTAGTGTCTTGGTTGCACTTCTGCCTTTTGAATAATGTTCAAATTGTATACGGTGCTAATGTTCACTACATGAGTGGAGAGTGGCTTAAGATAACACTGAACACACTGATGGCTTCCTGTCAAAAGGCCCCTGCCCTCTGTTCTTCTTTGGTAGGATGGACACTTTCTTAGAAACTAATGAGCATATGAGAAGTAGAAATGTATCCCAAGATTACCTAAACACTTATAGCGATTACTATCATAAGAAATTTTCCCATGGATTGATAGATAGGTACAACTATACACATTCTCTCTGTCTCTCTGTCTCTCTCTCTCTCTGTCTCTGTCTCTCTCTCTCTCTCTTTCTCCCTTTCCCTCTCTCTTCCTCCCTCCCTCTTTCTCTCTGTTCTTTCTTCCCCCCTCTGTGTGTGTGTGTGTGGTGTTTGGGTGTGTGTTCATGTGTATGAGTATGAGCACTCTTATGTGGTGAGTATATGTGCATGAAGTGTTAAGAGATCAATCCCAGGCATCTATGCATGATAGGCAAACAATTTATTAAATAAGCTACTTTGCCAGGTTATGAACCACACACCGCATGTGGTCTCAAAAATGAGATAAAACACAAAAAACAAGAGTCTTGAAATGATTAAATTTTTCTGGCAAAAATTCAATATTGGAGGGAAAACTCTTTTATATGTAAATGTTACTGAAAAATATGATAGTATATAATATGAAAGTGGATGGTGTGTCTACATGCAAAGGGGAAATTAGGATACATCTTATAGAGATGGGAGTCAATAGGATGATGCCTGTGAAGTAGTTTGAAAATTCAAATACCAGCATGATAGACTTAAGAAACAATGAAAATTGAAATAAAGTTTCAATTTACATCCAGACAAATGACACCAAAAAGTAGTCATCATAAAGGCTGTGTCCCCACATCATAACAAATAAGAACTTGACTCTGGATTTGATAATAAAATCCCACTATATTCTTTGTTTGCTCAGGTATCCCAGAGGCTAACCTCAAGCTTATTGTTGCAGCCCATGAGAAGCAGATGGTAATTAGTGTTCAGCTATCAACCCGCCAGAGGCATGGATATCTGATGGAGGATTAATCCTGTCCAGACAAGGTCTGTAAGACCATTGACTCTGAAAGCTGTTGCTTACCTTTGCTGAAGCAGCTTGGTATCTTCCCAATACCTGCATTGTAGTGTGTAATCTCACATGATGTGTACATGTAACCTCATGATTGCAGCCCAGTCTTATGGGCACATATATCTGTGGGTGATTGGGTATATGACTTTTCATTTAACAATATACTTCTGATATATAGAATATATACTGGGACTTGCTTCATAATTGGAACTATTTGTCCCACAAGGACTGTGGACATTGAAAAGTCTGCTTTCTTCTTTTGCTTACTAGAATGGCTTCCTCCATCCAATGAAACCTCCAATGAGAGAATGTGATCATATAGCCAGAAGCCTTGGTTCCCACAGCCATATCTCTGTTCTGTTCCCTGAGATACATTAGAAGTCACCTCTCTCAAAGTATCTTTCATTTGCCAGAACATTCAGTCAGGGAATTAGTCTTTCATATGAATCACATTTGGGACCTTCAAGGATAAAGGAACATCCGAGCTTAGAGAATTGCCTTTGTTTTGCATGTGTATATAAATTGGAATCTTGGAAGAAAAAAAAAGAAGAGTAAAGAAACTGATGCAGAAAAGTACATGGTGGAGAGTTCATTTTGTCCTTAGAACTAAGTCCTGTGCTTGCTGTGACTCTTCTGCTGAACCCTGAAGGGGACACAGATGTTGGCACTTAGAGGTCCCTGATAGCTTATAATGTAATAGAATGCTGGGATTACAGGCCTCTGTCACCAAACTCGACTTGTGCAGTACAGACAATGGAACCCCAGACTATGTGCATGAGAGGCAAGCACTCTACAAATTGATCTATAGTCCGAGTGAACAAGCATAAGTATATCATCTCTAATTCAAGATTTATTATGAGATTTCTTAGTCCACAATGCTGCCATGCTAACAAGATAGAAACTACAAAGAAGTTCAGCTTCTCTAGCTATCCAGCAGGCAAACTTCCTGCAGGTAAGCACCCCCACCCCAGCCAATGGATCCTGCAGGCTACAAGTCCCACTCTTTCACCAATATGCTCCTATCCCTCGCAACCTCAGAGGAACTCTGAAACACAGGCTGCAGTTTCACAGAGAGGATGAAGAGGTGAGTGAAATCCACTTGGTGGGACACCCCACTCTCTAGATCCTCCATATCAAGGCAAAACCATGGACCCCTCCCCCACCTGCCTTTGCTTCTCTAGCCATTCAACAGGCAAGCTTCCTACAAGTAGGCTGCTCCAAAACCCCCACCCCATTTATCAGACCTTGCAAACTATAAGTTCCACTCTACCTTCAAACCCTCCTATTCCCCGTAACTTTAGAGGAACTTTGAAACACAAGCTGCAACTACACAGAAAGAACTAAGAGAGAGCACAAGAGAGGAACCCTGAAGTACAGGCTGTGACTACACAGAGAGTACCAAGAAAGGAACTCTGAAGCATAGTCAGTGACTGTGCAGAGTGGACCAAGAGAGAAAACCAAGAGGGCAGACCAAGAGAGCAGGCCAAGAGAGCGGACGATGAGAAATCTCAGTGGCTTCCTAAGACACAGACAGCAACAGTACAGAGTAGAACAAGAGCAGTTCCCAAAGACACAGACAGTCACTGCAAGGATTGGATCAAGAGGCAAAGACACTGCCAGCACCAATTGGAGGAAGAGATGCTTTGGTGACGATGCAAGCATTTATTCATCAATCTAAAAGGCAACATGGTAACACCAGAACCCAGAGGGCATACAACAGGAAGACTTGATCATCCTAGCCCAGGAGAAGCAGAAGAAAATTATTTTAAATGTAACTTTATGAGGATGATGGAAACCTGCAAAGAGGAAATGAAAAATTCCCTTAAAGAAATGGAGGGAAAGACAAATAAAAAATTGGAAGAAATCAACAAATCTCTCAAAGAAAAACAAGAAAAAAACAATCAAACAGGTGAAGAAAATAGTTCAAGACTTGAAGACTGAAATAGAGGTAATAAAAAACACAAACTAAGGGAATTCTAGATATGAAAAATCTGGATAAATTAATGGGAATTGTAGAGGCAAGCCTAGCCAAGAGAATACAAAAGATGGAAGACAGAATCTAAGGTGTTGAAAATACTATAGAGGAAATAGATTCATCGGTCAAAGAAAACATTAAATCCAACAAATTCTTGACACAAAACATTCAGAAAATCTGGGACACCATGAAAAGACCAAACCTTAGAATAATAGTGGTAGAAGAAGGAGAAGAACTCCAGCTCAAAGGCACAGAAAATATATTCAACAAAATCATAGAAGAAAACATTCCCAAACTAAAGATGGATATCCCTATGAAGGTCCAAGAGGCTTACAGAATGCCAAATAGACTGAACCAAATAAAGTTCCCTTACCATATAATAATTAAAACACAAAACATATAGAATAAAGAAATAATATTAAGACCTGCTAAGGAAAAATGTCAAGAAACATATAAAAACAGACCTATCAGAATTATACCCGACTTCTCAATGGAAACCAGGAAAGACAGAAGGTCCTGGACGGATGTGGTGCAGACACTAAGAGACCATGGATGCAAACCCAGGCTACTATACCTAGCAAAGCTTTCAATCACCATAGACAGAGAAAACAAGATATTCCATGACAAAACCAGATTTAAATAACACCTACCCACAAATCCAGTCCTACAGAAAGTGCTAGAAGAAAAACTCCAACCCAAGGAAGATAACTGCACCCATTAAAACACAGGCAACAGATAACCTCACACTAGCAAACCCCAAAGAGGGAAACACACAAACCCTACCACCAAAAATAACAGGAATTAACAATCACTGGTCATTAGTATCTCTTAATATTAATGAACTCAATTCACCCATAAAAAGACACAGGCTAAGAGAATGGATATAAAAGCAGGATCCATCCTGCTGTATACAAGAAATACACCTTAACCTCAAAAACAGACATTACCTCAGAGTAAAGGGTTGGGAAAGATTTTCCAATCAAATGGGCCTAAGAAACAACTGACCTAAGAAACTAACTATCCTAATATCTAACAAAATAGACTTCAAACTAAAATCTACTAGAAAATATGGAGAAGAACACTTTATACTCAGCAGAAGAACAATCTATGAAGATGAAGCCTCAATCCTGAACATCTATGCTCCAAATACAAGAGCACCCATATATGTAAAAAAAAAATAAAAGCATTACTAAAGCTTAAATTATAATCAAACCCCATGCACTAATAGTAGGAGACTTCACCACCCCACTCTCACCTATGGACAGGTCAACCAGACAGTAATTTAAGAGAGAAATAAGAGAACTAGAAGATGCCATGACTCAAATGGACTAATAGACACATGTACAAAACATTTCACCCAAACATAAAAAATATACCTTCTTCTCAGCACCTCATAGAATCTTCTCTAAAACTGACCACATATGTGATAAAAAGGCAAACCTCAAAAGATACAAAATAAGTGGAGTAACCCCCTATATCTCATCAGATCACCATGGTTTGAAGCTAGAATTTAACAATAACTCTAATTGTAGAAAACTTACAAACTCATGGAAATTGAACAGTGCTCAGTTGAACCACCTGTGGATCCAGGAAGAAATAAAAACAGAAATTAAAGACTTCCAAGAATTTAATAAAAATGAAGGCACAGCATACTCAAACCTATGGGACACTATGAAAGCAGTGCTGAAGGGAAAGTTCATAGCACTAAGTGCCTACATAAAGAAAGTGGAGAAATCTCACACTAGCAACTTAACAGGACACCTTAAATTTCTAGAACAAAAAGAAGCAGCCTCACCCAGGAAGAGTAGATGACAGGAAATAATCGAATTGAATGCTGAAATCAATAAAATAGAAACAAAGAAATTTAAAGAATCAGAGAAACAAATTGCTGGTTCTTGGAGAAAATCAATAAGATAGACAAACCCTTATCCAAACTAATCAAAAACAGAGAGATAACATCCAAAGTAGCAAAATTAGAAATGAAAAGGGGGATATAACAGTAGATACTAAAAAAAAAAATCCAAAGAACCATTAAGTCATACTACAAAAGCCTGTGCTCCACAAAATTAGAAAATGTAAAAGAAATGGACAATTTTCTGGATAAGTAGCACATACCAAATTTAAATCAAGACCAGGTGAACAATTTAAATAGACCTATAACCTGCAAGGAAAGAGAAACAGTCATCAAAAGCCTCAAAACCAAAAAAGGCCAAGGCTGGGTGGTTTCAGTGAAGAATTCTACCAGAACTTTAAAGAAGAGCTAATACCTATACGCCTCAAAGTGTTTCACATAATAAAAATAGAAGGATCATTGCCACACTCTCTTTACAAGGCTACAATTACCCTGGTACTGAAACCACATAAAGACTAAACCAAGAAAGAGAATTACAGATCAGTGTAACTCATGAACATAGATACAAAAATACTCAATAAAATACTGGTAAACCAAATTCAAGAACACATAAAAAAGAATCATCCACCATGATCAAGTTGGGTTCCTCTCAAAGAAGCAGGGATGGTTCAACAAACAAAAATCTATCAATGTAATCAATCATATAAATTAACTGAACCAAAAAAAAAAACCCATATGATCATCTCATTAGATGCTGAAAAAGCATTCAACAAAATCCAACACACCCTTCATCATAAAGGTCTTGTAGAGATCAGGGATATAAGGAACATATCTAAATATAAATAAAGCAATATACACCAAGTCGACAGCCACCATCTAATTAAATAGAGAGAAACTCAAAGTGATTCCACTAAAATCAGGAACAAGACAAAGCTGTCCCCTCTCTCCATATCTACTCAATATAGTCCTTGACGTTTTGTCTAGAGCAATAAGATAACAAAAGGAAATCAAGTGATACAAATTGGAAAGTAAGATGTCAAACTTTTGCTATTTGCAGATGATATGATAATATACATAAGTGACCCCAAAACTCTACCTAGGAACCCCTATAGCTGATAAATACCTTTAGTAATGTGGCAAGATAAAAGGTCAATTCAAAAAAATCAGTAGTCCTCCAATATACAAATTTTAAATACTGAGAAAGAAATCAGAGAAAAATCACCCTTCACAAGCCACAAATAACATAAAATAACAAGGGATAACTGTAGTGGTTTAGGTAAAATGGTGCATTTCCTTGAGGGTCAGCAACAGGTCATGAGAGGCAGATGAATCCCACCACCCATGGTCTCTGTGGGTCCCAGGTGGGTGAGAGAACTGGGTCGGCAGGGCAACTGGTCCCAGGAGGAGCCTCCATGGGTGAGAGACAGAGACAAAAGGTACAGAAGGTACAGAGGTACGTCATGCAGAGTGAGTTTGGGTATAGAGTTTATTTAGTGATTTATGGAGGGGAAAGGGAAAGAGGGAAGAAGAGGCAGAGAGAGAGAGAGAGAGAGAGAGAGAGAGAGAGAGAGAGAGAGAGAGAGAACACTCAGGTTGAAGGAGGCTGGATATCAGCTTCCCTTAGTAGAAGGGGAGGGCGTGGGAGAGGGCAGGGCTTGCTTATTAAAGGGAAGGGACAAATCAATAGCAGATCATAACAGTAACACTAACCAAAATAAGTGGAAGACCTGTTAGACAAGAACTTTAAGTCTTTGAAGAAAGAAACTGAATAAGCTACCAGAAAACAGAAAGATTGCTCATGCTCTTGGATAGGTAGGATCAACCTAATAAAATTGGCAATCCTACCAAAAGCAATCTGTAGATTCAAAGCAATCCCCATCAAAATCCCAACACAATTCTTCACAGACCTTGAAAGAATAATATTCAACTTCATGTGGAAAAGCAAAAAGTCAAGGATAGCCAAAACAATCCTGTACAATAAGGGAACTTATGGAGCCATCACCATTTCTGTTATCAAGCTCTGTTATAGAGTTACAGTACTGAAAACAGCCTGGTATTGACAGAAAAATAGACAGGTTGACCAATGGAATTGAATTGAAGACCCCAGTATTAATCTACACACCTATGAACACCCGATTTTTGACAAAGAAGCTAAAATTATACAATGGAAAAATGAAAACATCTTCAACAAATGGTGCTGGCATAACTGGATGTCAACATGTAGAAAAATGCAAATAGATCCTTATCTATCCCCATTCATGAAACTCAAGTTCAAATTATTAAAGACCTCAATCTCAATCCAACTGTACTGAATGTGATAGAAGAGAAAGTGGGAAGTAGCCTTCAATGCCTAAATATGACCCCAGTAGCACAGACACCGAGAGCAACAATAAAAAATGGAACCTCCTGAAACTGAGAAGCTCTGTAAAGCACAGGGAACCATCAATATGTCAAAAACGCAGCCTACTGAGTGGGAAAAGATCTTCACCAACCTCACACCAAACACAGGATTGATCTTTGAAATATATAAAGAACTCAAGATTAGACATCAAAATTCCAAATAATTTAGTTAAAAAATGGTGTACTGAACTAAACAGAGAATTCTCAACAGAAGAATCTCAAATGGCAGAAAAACACTAAAGGAAATGTTCAACATCCTTAACCACCAGGGAAATACAAATCCAAACAATTCTGAAATAACATCTTACACCAATCACAATGTCTAAGATCAAAAACACCAATGTTAGCTTATCCTTCAGAGAATGTGGAGTAAGGGAGCACTCCTCTATTTCTGGTGGGAATGCAAACTTATACAACCACTCTGGAAATCAATATGGCAGTTTCTCAGAGAATTGGGAATCAACCTACCTCAGGACTCAGCAATACAACTTTTTGGCATATATTCAAAGGATGCTCAATC